ACTGCCCCTGGGGGTATTGGTTTTTCACCTTGCTAATAAGCTGCGCGCTAAACTTGACTAATGCTTAAGAACGCGTTGTTTCCTACTTTGATTATTTACACGTCCTACATAATAATAATTTTGATTCATGTAATGCTAACTGTATGCTAATGTAACTATACTTGAGACCTTCGAACTTATATCTCAAGGTGGGTGGCGCATTAACGTTGTAGACGTCTATGGGCTCCAGTAACCACTTAACACCAGGTCGGCTGTGAGCTCGTCCACCCATCTAAGCAATAAAAAAAATGCTAGCTATATTTTTTCGGCGATATTCAGCGAATATTCATACTAGCTGCTGTATTTGTTACAGTACTATTTTTCGGATTAGCAATTTACACATAAATTATATATTAAAATAAATTAAAAATGCATAGTCGTCCTTAAAATCTTAAAATTTAGGTCTATATCACAAGCTTTACTAACAGTTATAATAATTAGGTATCTGTTAACTTGACATTAAAACCAACAATAACTATTATTCTTCTTCTAAGTTCTTTTAATGTTAAATGTATGTAATGTAATAAGCAAGTATATTATAGATATAAAATCTAAAAAATTTAAATGTGGTGCTTTAGTGAAGTCGTATCGATTTTCGGGACATGTTCAGACCTGTAGAAACACGCATAACGACTTGACACGCGTACAGTCACTCAAGGCTGTAATAGAATACTGTTGTTTATGTTTAAACGAAAGAAAATTTTTGGGTGCGGAATGTTTTTAAACTTTTTACACTTTACACTCGAGAAATGAGTATCACTCACCACATGATTGAATTAAAAACGACAAAAAGAACGATAAGAACAGATATTCAAAACATAAACAAGATATCAATAATCAAATAAAGCAACATAAATAGTTTACACAGCGCGTCGAATTTCCGCACCAAATAAATTGGTGAGCGAGAATCGTCTCTCGAGTTGAGGCATTAAATAATGTGGTGAGAACATAAACAAGATATCAATAATCAAATAAAGCAACATAAATAATTTACACAGCGCGTCGAATTTCCGCACCAAATAAATTGGTGAGCGAGAATCGTCTCTCCAGTTGAGGCATTAAATAAGTAATATTATGGTGTGCTAGACTCACGTCTCGAGTGCAAAGGGTTAATGAAGATACTGGGGATAACGTATACATGTTATGGACGAGGCGTCATTGCTTTCTGCAGTGAGGCTAGACTTGACAAATATTGGGTACGTTTTTCAAACAGAAGTGATATTTTATCCACAACCAAAGATTCTCCAATGCAATAGACTAGTGAATTCGCATCTCGCATTATGTAGGTATCCGGTTTGAAGGGTGGTACCTACGTCTATTACCCGGCAATAGAGACATCGATCCACGTTACGCTGTCGGTGTTCACGAGGTTCACGTTGTGATGTCCAGACTCTGGTAACCACTAAGCACCAAGAAGCGGTCTCGTTCGCCCATCCATGCAATACACATGTTGTAATTTTTTTTTTCTGTAGACGTTCTAAAACTTTCGAAAAACTCAAATTTGTCCTCACTTGCTATAAGCTAATGGACAGCATTGACGTAATAACATAAAACAAGTTTTATCGTTTTCGATATATCAGACACTTAGATTTATTTAAAGTCCACGTCTCAAAATTATAAATACAACCAAAATAATACGTCCTACAAAAAATATCAGAGGAAAAGATTTGTTAGTAAAAATATTCATTCTGCTTTATTCATTCAAAGGACCCTCGATCCATGCGTGTTATAAAATCAAGGGGAAGGATACAAAACATTTTAACCCTACTTGATATTCTTTTAACAGCATCGCATCCATTTTAAAAGCACTGGATAAAGCGACAAGAGTACAATTATTATTAGGTGCCGACTGAGATGTTAAACAATATTTCGTTTTATCCGTGATTTTAAAATCAAGATACAACTTTTCGCTATCTCAAAAGACATACACACACAGACAATCTTTTCAAATATATGCATGAGAAAGAAATGCATCTACTGGTGGTAGGGCGTCTTGTGAGCCCGCGCGGGTAGGTTTTATCACCGTTCTGCCTTTCAGTTTGAAGGGTGGGGCAGCCGTTGTACTGTAAAAACTGAGATTTAAAACTCAGGTGGGTGACGGCATTTAAGTTTTAGATGTATATGGGCTCAGGTATGATATGAACATGTGATGAGACGAAATGACAATGAGGTCGGTAAGAGAATTTTAACTATGAATGTGGAAGGCTTTAGAGGAACAGGTAGACCTAAGAAAAAATTAATAGATTGCGTGAAAGACGACATGTAAGAGGGTCAGCGAAAAAATGGTATATGATAAGAAGTGTATGGAAGGAGAACAAATTTTGCGAGGCGACTGGGAGAAGGGCAGGAGAATGATAACGTCTATGGGCTCCGGTAATAAATTAACAACAGGAGGGCCATGAGCTTGTCCATCCATCTAACCACTTAAAAAAGATAATGGAGAAGGCACGTGAAATCCGAAATATCTTTTATTACATTACCTTAAAATTAGGATTCCTTAAAGAACTGCTCACAGAATGAAAATTGCTTTCTTATCTTGACGTTGGCATAAAATGATTTTAAATATCGGATTTTTAGGAACCCTAGTAGCATCAGCACAACTAACTGCCAGGGTAGTAATATAAACTTTTTCACATATTTATTTTGATCTCCGATTTCAACGCTTTACGCTTTGTTAACTCTTATTAATTATTAAGGATTATGGTAAAAGAAAAGTTCTTGGAATCGCGTCTCAGGTCATTCTTCCCACGTTTACATTCCATAAATAGAAACGTTCTCATAAAACGTAGACAATCGATATTTCTGCGAGTCTCGCAACGAATACTGTTTTTACTACATTAAAATTTGTGTATTTTTCACAATTGTCACAACGTTCCACTGTTCTCTTATCCTTATATAAAATATGTATGTGTATATAACAAGAGGACACGGTATTAATTTGTAGACGCAGGAACGGAGGATATCCAAAAGGAGAATTCGTTTTACGGTATAATTTCGTATATTTTCGTTTTTTTACAAAAAAGGTGTATAATTACGTATAACCTCGATTTTACAAAAAGAGGCTGTTAGTTCGTTACATTCGAAAGTTAAGAATAATATGAATGAAGTCAATGAAGAGAAGTAAATGACAGAATGACGTTTTTGCTGTCAATGTGGTTTGACGTATGACGTTTATTGAATTTGTAGATGGCGCTTTCGTCGATGGCAACCATCATTAGCCAAAGGTGTTTTTATCCAGAACCACAATATGTATTGTTTCTGAATATACCGCCGGCCTTGGAAGAACCAGCTTCTTCCAAAGTGTGGTCTTCGCTTTACTCGCCCTCTGTATCCTCCGGNCTGTAGGTCTCGTAATCTTGTCGTCAAAAATCCAAGTCCCGTATATATGCAGATCGCAGACGAATATTCTGCCGTATAATCCGCTTCGCTGGTTGACAATTCTTCTAATCAATCCGTCTCGTAGGAACAAATGTAGACGCAGGAACGGAGGATATCCAAAAGGAGAATTCGTTTTACGGTATAATTTCGTATATTTTCGTTTTTTTACAAAAAAGGTGTATAATTACGTATACCCTCGATTTTACAAAAAGAGGCTGTTAGTTCGTTACATTCGAAAGTTAAGAATAATATGAATGAAGTCAATGAAGAGAAGTAAATGACAGAATGACGTTTTTGCTGTCAATGTGGTTTGACGTATGACGTTTATTGAATTTGTAGATGGCGCTTTCGTCGATGGCAACCATCATTAGCCAAAGGTGTTTTTATCCAGAACCACAATATGTATTGTTTCTGAATAAATTATTAGTATAAAAATATTGTATGCCTACACTGGGAATATCATTTCCCTGAAAAAAGTAGTTAAGGGTAGGCTTGACTTCGCCCCTGGCATTGCTGATGTCCATGGGCGACGGTAATCACTCACTATCAGGTGGGCCGCATGCTCGTTTGCCTGCAAAGGCAATAAAAAAAATTTGTGATCACCATTTTTTTTCTTCATATTATTATATTCAATAAATATGTTGTGGACTTAGCTTAGTTCAGTCTGTGTCGAGTCGTCGCACAATAAACAAGTTGCAAACTGTCGTGTCTTGTTAATAATTATCACCCTACATACTATCAAACACGCTCTATATAAGCACAGACTCAACAAATATAATATTAAAATTAATAATATCTTCTTAGTCGGACAGATACTCTTGTCATAGTGGTCGTGGTTGCGCTGACGATGTACACGTAGAAGCATTTGTCTAGTCGCCCATGTTCTTGAGCATTGCCTTCCAGGCGATGCGCTTCCAGATCTTAATAATATGTGGAAAATATAATATATACCAATTTTCATAAAAAGACTAAAAGAGATGGTGGCATTGTCTACTCTTTTTGAATCTTCCATAAAGATTATATTTAATGGAATCTATTCGCTATCTCTGCACTGCACTGCACTGCACAATAAGGGGAACAATAATAATAATAATTTTACTTCCATCCTATAAATAATTTACTTATCGTTTATCCTAAAAATAAATAAATGAAGGATCAAGGTGTTGCACTTCAGATGCATAAGTTCTACCTGATCTCTTCCATCATATCAGCTGCAATGATGAACTTATTCCTTTTAATGGATACTCATTTGCAGGGTGAAATCCATGAAACTAGTCTTAATTCAGTCAATTAAGCAAATAAAATGTATCTGCAGCCGCAGCATTACTGACAATGTGGCGGTAGCCATCACAGATTCCAAGATATTTGACAGATGCCTGAATCTCTGATATCTGAATAAACTCGCATATATACAAGTTCCGGACAACAACATTTGGACCGTCGCCGCGTCGGTTTAACGAGCAAATATCACCCGCTCGGTGGAAGATCTTCCCTTTGTTTATACCTACAACTGATGAGTACCTGTGTGTGCGTGGAATGTGGGATAAGCCCACAATAATAATGTTTAATGTCTTATTCATCAGGTGCGAGAAGCGAAAGGTGCAGTGGAATTCGAAGGCGAGCCCGCGGCGTACGTGAGTTCGTTACCGGGCGAGCTACCTGAAGATGACGACCCCGCCACGGAGACCTGTGCCAGAGTGCGACCTCTGCGACGGGACACCTTCAAGAAGAGGAAACTACTGCAGATGCACAACTTGCATTTGGCTACCCCGAAAGCCGCAAAACCTTCTGATATAAAGTATGATTCTTGGTATTCTATGTCGTTACGGATCCTCCTGATCCATTAACGGTGCTTTTAGGTAGCTCAAGCACCGGTTACCGTCGTTTGCGACGAAGGGCTCGACGAGCGAATGAACACAGACATAGCCCACTGAGTTTCTCGCCGGATCTTCTCAGTGGGTTGCGTTTCCGATCCTGTGGTATATTCTGCGAAGCCCTTGCTAGGGCCAGTGTTAGCAACACTCCGGTTTGAGCCCTGTATTCTATTGTGCATTTTAGATGCTGTCGCCACTATTCGGAAATGTACCACATCAAATTTAGTCAGGGTCCGTGAACTAAACGAGAAAATTTTCTATCATGGATGCTTTGTTACCATGATTATTAATAATTAAAGGTGTAATTAATTGTTATTTAAACCTGTTTAACAAAAGGTGATCTAATTAGATATCATGGAAACTAAATTACAGATTAAGTTTTGATTCATTCGTTCATTCAGTTAAATAACTTTAAAATCAGATGGAAAAATTTTAACTCATAAAATAATATACTGCTTAACTTATTAGATCTTCGGATTTTAATTCTTAATTATTTCCTTTAGTATTTAGTTTTCGGGTAACTTTTTTTTTATTTTGGTTTTTTTTTTTTTTTCCTACCTAAGCTGAGAGCCTTGAGAGGCTATGTCAGCGTAACCCTAACTTTTGTAGGTGAGCTCACGGGGCTCAAACCTGATGACGTTGCTAACACGAACCCTAGCAAGAGCCGTGCTTCGCAGAATCTACCACCGGATCGGAAACGCGACCCACTGAGAAGATCCGGCGAGAAACTCAGTGGGCTGTGTCTGGGAGTTAATTTACTCGTCGAGCCCTTCGTCGCAAGCGACGGGTTCGACGAGAACGGTGACCGGTGCTTGAAGTACCTAGAAGCACCGTTAGTGGATCGGGAGGATCCGAGATGACGTGTTTTGGGCGACGTCGACTGCTTTCCATACTGTCCGCAGGATCGGGAATGTTCGGGTAACACTGTTATGTCAATGTATGAAAACTACTCTAAGATAAACTTTGATAATCGATCAAGTAATAAAAATGAAACCTGCAAAAATCATAGTTTGCGTAATTATAGGTGGCAGGACGTCTTGTGAGTCCGCACTGATAGGTACCACCAGCCTGCCTATTTCTGCCGTGAAGCAGTAATGCGTTTCGGTTTGAAGGGTGGGGCAGCCGTTGTACTGTTAAAAGTGAGACCTAACACAACTTATGTCTTAAGGTGGGTGGGCGGCATTTGCGTTGTAGATATCTATGGGCTCCGGTAACCGGTTAACACCAGGTGGGCCGTGAGTTCGTCCACCCATCTAAGCAATAAAAAAATAAATATTTTTTGGAACGAAGTTTCTTTTATTAGTAATGCACACAGGGTACGACTTAACTTTGTAATAACGTACGAATTAGTAATGCATTCAGTGTACGACTTAACTTTGTATAACGTACAAATTAGTAATGCACACAGTGTACGTTCGTTTGCGCAATACACTAACTCTTATGCAAACAACCGTGAATGAAGTGTACCACAATAAGTTCGCACGTTACCGAATGACCGTAGGTTGTTGCGAAACCTCCAGTTTTATTTTCTTTATAGGAGGAGGAATTTTGTCCGGTGTCCCACAACACCACACATCTTTTTTTTTGTCTTACAATACCAAAATTATCAATGTAATCATAGTTCTTCTGATTTAACATATTGTATTAATATCTGTATCGTTTGTATGGCACAGCTGCAGCTGCGTCCAGCCGAGCGAGAGCTGTCCGGTGTGCACGGGGCGAGCCGAGCCCGCGCTAGCGCCGCACTGCGCCGCGCTGTCCGCGCTCTCCGCGCCGCAGCGCCTCGCGCTCGCCGACCCGGCCTACCATCCCGTGCTCAGTCACATTAAAGGTGCCCTGAACCCCTATCTAAACTTTACTTAAAATAATAAAATGCGGTAGGCAGCGGCTTGGCTCTACTACTCTCTAACTCTACAGTTACTACAGTTTTGGCGAAATCTGTGATTATAGAAGTCTTTGACAGTAGAATGATAATACGTGTACAAACCTATAATTTCAATTAATTTGAGTCGAATTTCGACTACTGCGGGATTGCTAACATTAATGAAAAAGTTGTATTTTGTTATTTAAACAAACACTTTCAGAACAGGGTACTAATATGCGACGTTTACAATTCCAGACGCGACGGTGTCCCTGCACATGTCGTCGCTGTGGTCCCGCGGCTGGATGAGCGCGCGCCCGTCGCGCCCCGCCCGCGCGCCTCCCCCCGCCACGCACTCGCCGCCCAAGCAGCACCGCCGGCACACGACCAGTCAGTATTGCACGTCAGAATTATGTACCGTAGATTGGGGGGATCGGGACTAGGGATATTAGAAAAATATCGATGATAACATCGATTTAAAAGTATCGATATACGATAATGTCAAACATTGATATTTTTTGATATTTTTGGTAGGAAATAAAACTGACTGTTTTATTTATTTAAACTAAGTTTAGGGACTCACTAGCTAGAAAGTACATCCACCGTTAGATGGTCCTAAAAGATATATGGACGTTTCGATAATACATCGATGTGTCGATGTTATCGAAACCAAAACATCGAAGTTAAAACATCGATGTTTTCCAACTAAACATCGATGAATATCGATCATCCCTAATCGGGACCCTTTCCAAATCCAACATAAATTTTCAATCGTTTTTCTTAGGGCAATACCAATAAAATTGAGATTAGAATGGTTCCGGCGGCTTAAATTTTTATATACGATGTGTTATTATATATATTTCATTGCAAAATATACACAAAACTTAAAAAACTAGCTCGACTCGATTCACCTTGGCTTTGGGGTGAATCAGTCTACATATGGGGACAATAGTTTTTCGATAAGGCTAGCCCTATTTAGTTGTTAGGTAGGTACCTAACTTTAGATAATTAACTTTGTAATATCTTTAATGAACTATAAAACTTTGATGACTATATTGAACTATTTAATATTCTTAAACACTAAATAATAGTAATTTTCAGTTCAACAAAGTTAACTCAACGAAAGTATTGATTTGTCCTCAACAAATGTTCACGATCACTGGCATCCCGGATTTGTCCTTATTTTAACTCTAGTCTCTATTTCCCCCAATCAACTGTACTACAACTGCCACATCCTTACATATCCATCAGATCCAATAACCTTTGCATTAGACACCTTTAGCTGTAACACTAGGAGCAAGCTTAGACCACGCGAACCGTACTCGTCAAAGTCGACAAAGAGTTCGACGTGCAACCTAACCGATACATCAGCAGAGTTTCTCGCCGGATCTTCTCAGTGGACTGTTAGTAAACTCGCGAAGCAGCTGCTCTTGAATTGTTAGGTCTCCTACGGAGGCGCTCTGCAGCTCTTAGCAAATTCCACCCTCCTGGCTGAGCCTTTTCCTGTCCTAGTGAAACTGGAAAGGCTGATGGGCCATCAGTAATCCTTCAATCATAAAAAAACTACAATTGCATTGTTATTAGAATATATAAAAATTGATACCCGTTGGAGAGTTTAAGTGTACCCATAAGTATTTCAAACATTAAGTTATGGAAACTTTGTTATACTTATTTTATTAAATGACATATTTATGACAAAATTACAGGATTGAAAAGAGGCAGACCACCCTTATCCAGGAAGATAAGAGAAAGGGATAGAGATGAAGAAACCTCAATGTCAAATCATGAAAGGTTAGTGTTCAATATGGGAAACATCTCAGTTATATACTCAAAATTGAGAGGAACAAATTAAATTTGTAATTGTATTAATTATAATTACATACATTCATGTCAACTAATGTAATTTGTATGAAGACTATAAAATACACACAAGTTGACTGTGAATCAATATTATAATCATCAGGATTGGAATAACTATGGCATATTTTTCTAATTAGCAGTGAGAAGAATCTTCAGCATTAGATAACGGCGATAGCTATTTATTGCCCTTGGCCTTGACGACGAAAAGCGAAGTGATCACTAACTCTGAGATGAAGTGATAAAGTATAAGCTGTACTCGCCCGCTTTGCTGGGCATTTAAAATTAACATTATTATTTATTGTCATTATTATTAGGAAGTCCAACACTTATATAAATATTAGCCTATCCATTAACTACATGTATTTTCTACATAGATACCAAGTTTCAAGTCAATCGGATGCATGGTTCAGTAGTTATAACAGAACATAAGTAAAAACCATTATAAATTTATATATTAGTATATATTAAATTGTTTTAATAGATTCTACTGACTACATATTATTTGAATAATCAAATCGGACCGCATGGTAAACTTATTTATATAATAATAATAAAAAATGTTTTGACCGGTTCCACCGCGGGTCGCGTCATTCAAAGCGGGACGATGTGCCCAGTTCCAGGTCGCGCGGTCGGCCCAGCACGGAGTCGCGGCGCCGCCAGTCCTACGACATCGACAACATCGTCATCCCGCAGAGCGTCGCCGCCAGCACCCGCCCGCAGATCCTCACCTACAAGGAGATCATCACGCCCAAGTACTGCACCCAATCTATTAGCCGCAATATATATATATATATATATCGACGCCTAAGCGACAATGCGTGAACTTTACAGTAGACTAATTTAGAGTTGAAATACCTGAAAAAAATCTATTTTAACCAATATAGCTGTAGGATTGAAATGATTTTAATAGACCTAAAAATATATATTTTTGCGCATCGAATATGGTTATTGCCTATCATTTATGTATAAAGCAGCTATTGTCGCTTAGTCACGTTTGCCTTTCAAGCGTCGATATATATATATATGTATACATATATAATACACTGCACTTGTCATGACTCCAGAACAATATCGGTTGGGTCGATGTTGGGTCTAATTAAAAAAATTATCTGTTCTATGCCGAATGATTCCTAAACATTTTTTTTTTAATTTATTCATATTTTTTTTTCACGATTACAAATAAATTACTGATGTATCTTTAATTTATAGGTGGCGAGTACTGGAGATGCCGGAGACACGTATGAATAATGGGGTTTCGAAAACGAATAATTCAAATCGACTTTCTGTCGAAAGCGAGGTTTGTACTTCAAGTATTTGAAACAGATTAGATATTTCCCAATTTACAACCCGTATTGAACTCCTTGAGCAGTGTTAAAACTCACGATCAGCTGGATCGAAAGTTTGTTTGTTTTACTGGTGGTAGGACCTCTTGTGAGTCCGCACGGGTAGGTACCACCACCCCGCCTATTTCTGCCGTGAAGCAGTAATGCGTTTCGGTTTGGAAGGTGGGGCAGCTGTTGTAACTATACTGAGACCTTAGAAATTACATCTCAAAGTGTGTGGCGCATTTACGTTTTAGATGTCTATGGGCTCTGGTAACCACTTAACACCAGGTGGGCTGTGAGCTCATCAGCTCATCTAAGCAATAAATAAATAAAAAATTGTCCAGCTTCCACAGCAATAACAATATTCAAAGATTATGTTGAAGTGCTAGTTATTTATTACAGGACGAAGATATATCGGACACGGCAGTGCAGGCGCGACACACGCGCGCCGAAACCCGCGAGAGAAGCCGCTGGGCGAGGAAGAACTCCAGACGAGCCGCCGCCGCCGCCACCGCCGCCGCCACCGCCGCCGCCACCGCCACCGCCGCCGCCACCACCGCGACCGACGCTCCGGCGGGGCCGACGTCGACGTCGCCGCGGCGGCAGGACCAGCTGCTGAGCCGAGACCAGAGCCCGGCGCCGGTCATCACGCTACCTCCGCCACAGAGCCTCTCACCTGTATTGGAGGTACGTTTATTACTTATCTTTTTTAAACTATATATGTCTACAATTTTCCAGAATATTTCTGATAATACTATAGTAGAATTATTTTGTCCGTGCAGTTTGGGTCATAAAACATAGTCCGGCTAGGGCGGTGAGCATGTTGCGCAGGCGCAACGCCCTTATCGATAAAAACAAATGAGTCATCGAAGGCAGGTACACGGCGGCGGGCGGTATACGAAGGGTGGTGAGACATTGTTGTGTTATGAGTAATTTGTACTTACCTGCAAATTATAGTACATTATGTCGAAGAGAAATGTGTTGTTATGCATTCGTTCTTTGAATTTCTTTAGTGACACAATGGCTACTCCTTTGTTTTGTATCAAAACGGCAGAATTTATTCAAAATATTATTTGCACGTGTTGTTATCAGCAATGTGTTAAAAAAATTTACTGAAATAAGAATAGATCCCGAAAAGTTACAAAGTGTTAATTTCTGCCGTTCTCGTTAACTTCCTGCGGCGATATGTGGTGTAAGTGTTCGATTATTGATTTTTTCTTTCATTTTTATCACTAAGCCACAAAATGACAAAACTAAATACACCGTCGATAATGCTTATCGACAACAATAATGCGCATCACTATGCCCGTCCATAAGGCTCGTGAGTGGAAGAGAGAGCGAAATACTCGCTTCACCGCTCCGATTTTTTATGACCCAAACTGCACGGACAAAATAATTCTACTATAGTCATTTCGATATCAGTTTACGCTATTTGACAACAGATGGCGTTACTCGTGGCGCCATAAACGTATATTTAGAAGCATTTTTTTAAGGGATTGTATGACCTTGGTAACTAAGACCATTAGGTCAATTTTAATTTATATTTTTATATTAAAAATTATAGTATGGAGTGAAATGAAATGAATATGATTAATTTGAGACATTAATCAACTGAGATGAAATTAAATGAGATGGTATGGGATGAATCTCAGTAAAATGGTGGTCGTTTATTGAGACTTTTTCAGTGGTCTTTTTGTAGGATCCCGAGAAGTTATGTTCCTCGGCTTTGTTTTATTTTTCCACATTTGTGCACTTTCACAGATACTAAATAGTTAATAACCGTTCTTACACATTTAAACCTGAAGAAACATTAAATAGACAAAACAAATCACACTATTTCATCCCTCACTTCCCGCCAAAAAGTCATAGAAGCATTATAAGTTTACAATTTTCCACAAAAAAATATTCATATATTTTTTTTACTATAGATACTTATTTTTAAACTAGTTTATACCACGTTTTAAGTTTGTACACATGTAACTACCCTCATTCCCGCAATGAACCAAAGGGAAACGGGGATGACATAAAATCAACGCTGTTCGATTTATAGACTTTGAACAGCATTACTTGAGTCACCTCCGTTTGCCTTTTTCCTTTTATTTTATTTAGTGTGAAAGGTAATAAATGATTTTATTATTATTATTATATCAGTTTTAATATTTCAATAATAAAACAAATGAGTCCATATGTGTCAGTATACATTATTATCTTCACGAACCTATTCCTTAAGTTGCAGCGCAACAAATCAACAATTGATATAACGTTTTCCGTTCAGACAGTGAGACCATACACGCCGCGACATTTCCCTCTGCCGGACGAAGATTACCACGAGATGATGTCCTCGATGCCCGAAGGCTACCGCCACAGCAGCCCCGAGCCCAGCCCCCTCCCTCCGCCGCCCGTCGACGACGAGGAGACCAGCTCCTTGTCGCCCATGTCGCCCATCATCTACGACGGAGACGATCCCGACGACGCTGAATGGGACCCGCACAGTGATAAAACCGAGCGACGGAAAAATGCTTTTAGGTGAATTGTAAATATTATATTCCCTTAGTGTGTGAGCTCTTAGTGATGTGTTACGAACGCGGTTGCACACGTTTCGATATGTAAATCGGTCGATTTGGAAGAATTATTTATGGAATAAATTTTGCCAATTTTATTTGCGAAATGAAAGCGTTTTATGAGTGAATTTAGTTTGTTTTCGATTAGATTAAACTGAAAAACGTACCGATGTTGTGTTAGCTGGCGGCTGAATCTAGGAATGGTAAATATAGTGAAATTTACTGTGCACATGATCGAAGATGCAAAACCGGATTATTAACACAAAACATGACAATTTTAGTATTTTCTGAGCTTCTCGCAAATCGGTACATGCGATTAAAACATTTTATAGATTTAATCTCACGTTTATTATTTTCATCATTTTACAATTGCTCTAATATTTCAAAAATTTCAGTTACCATGGTCCATGATTATAAATACATAAACACACGCACAAACGCAACAGACAGGTAGGCAGCGGCTTGGCTCTGCCCCTGGCATTGCTGAAGTCCATGGGCGACGGTAACCACTCACCATCAGGTGGGCCGCACGCTCGTCTGCCTACAAGGGCAATAAAAAAAAAGACACGCGTTAAATCGTAAAAAAAAATTAAAACAAATATCTTAATTATTAACTTATTACTCGCGCGTCGATAGCGGCAGCTGCTGCAGTGACTGTATAACAAGATGCATGGGGTACGGAACCTCATAATAACATAACACCTACAATTATAAGGAATTACTTGATTGTCAACTTCAGTGTCTGTTGAGCTATCAGTCCACGCTATGCTAAGCAATTCAGACACAGAGAGGTCTTTGGCCGCCAGTAGAGAAAGAACTATACACTATTGTCATTTAGAGTCAATTGCATGTAATTTATAATTTTCTGAAACTAAATATGCACAAATTATATTTTGACTCCAATGGCCTTTGGATTTTGACAATAACCCAGAATTATGCCTAATCACAGTAAAAGATTAGTATTATAGAAATGCCTTTTGAGAATGACTCACCGGTCATTGAACTTGTGCTTTCATTATATGCTGTGGTAGCTTTCTTTATTGAAAGGTATTTTGGTTAGATACACTAATAATTGTTGTATGATTACAATAACGAGTTTGATTTGTTTTTTCTGATTAATTCACGTCAGTTAATTTTTCCAAACCTGAATTTTTGTTTATTTTCACATCATTCAGTTCTCTTTCCAACACCATTGGTTATAACCACATAACTTACTGGCTTAATAAAAAAATAGTTTGTGTTTTTATAATTCTTAGTTGTTTATTAATTGGTAAATATATTTTTATTGCTTATTTAAATACAAAGCTTCAGATTCAAGATCCCAGACATACCAACACTTTTAGTTTTTTTTTTTTAGTCAAAATTCCATTTTCAACACTGCCATAGGGATGGCTAATTTGAATAAAAAGTTGCTGTCCATGAAATGTTATATTTTTGTTTATTTCATACCGTTTTCATGTATTTAAAATGATTCTCCTAAACATTTATGGAACATTTAAATTAGATTTCAATTTGTGTCTCTGATCACTTATTTATCTAGTGAGTTGTAAATAAATATATGTTTTTGTGGAATGAGTGTCTCGAAAGTTTGTTTTGAAAAAACGTTTTGTTACATTCCCTAACTATATTATTAGATTTAAAAAAAAAAACTTGGAAGATGTTATTCGACAATGTACAATAAATTTTAATGCAGTAGAAACGTACTGATTTAGTATTTGATTTGTTTTTTTTTTTCTGAAATGTGTGTTCATGATAATTTAGTTTAAGCGTTAGTTTAAGTAAAAAGTTGGCCCGTTGTTGCTGAGCGATTGTAAATAAATTGTATAATACAGACTTATAATAAAAAAAATATATATATTTGGACACTGAATAACAACAGACTGGTTTGTAAATTAACTGATTTGAATCTCTAAGAGAGTTATCAAACTGAAATTATTCACCACTATTTTGTTAACACCGTGTATTTAAGAAATTATTTATTCATGCGTATCGCACATTAAAAAAATTAAGTGACATAATAAATTTTATTGTCATTTTTACCTAATCAGAAATAATAGTCAGTTGTGGCAATAAGTCTGCATTATGTTCTCATCGTAGCTGTGGTAAAGCTTCAGTCAGAGTATCAACTCTACCTTGTTATTAAGGAGAGGATTTGCATTACTTAAATATAAGATGGGTTGATATAACGTGTTTTATTTTACATTTTGCGGTTTTTAAATCTAGTTCTTGCTTAAGATAACAGATAAAAAAATATTGTATCTACAACTAAGTATGAGCATGATGCATACTTTAAACTGAACCGAATATGTAACGCCAACTTATATTCAGAAGGGAGTCAGTTGTAGATTTTCCATAGTGAAATAGTTATAAACATATTATGTCGAATAAACTGTGGCCAGAATTGTACGTCAGCCATGTTAGTCTTGTATAATAGCCGGCAAACTTCTTGAGCATTTGTTGACGTAGTGGGGGTAAGTTCGCGCGTGGTACACTCACGTGCAAAAACGCTATTAAATTATTAAAATTAACATATGTATTTATTTATATATTTATTAGAACATCAACAAAACATATAGGTTTAATCTTAATAATTGTAATAATTTAATCTTGGGGTAAAATAGATATTCCTTCTATTAAGTCAAAACTAGAGCTGTTGCCAGGTCTTGATTCAGTTGAAGCGAAGCTGGTATTTGTAATTTTTTTTTCGTTATCATAATCTTGACCATCATCATCAGCACTGTTTTCATCACCCGAGTCGCTATCATCGTGATTAGTCGACATAGTGTAGTTTACAACTCGGTCGATTCGGTCTTCTTTTTTGTCTATAATTAATTATTTTTTGAAGATATTCGAGTAGTAATCGAATGCTACTTTTTTCAATTACCAGCTTCCGATTATTTTCTGTTGTTTTTTTTTCATCTAAAGCCTAGCTCTTTCATAATACGTCGTAAGCTTCATTCCGAGCCATTAAAATTTATATCTTCTTTAAATTTTTCGAAGCCTTTCTACGGTACGGAGTTTCGCTGCTTGTTATGTAGTTATTATGATTACATCTTTTTATAACATCTCTTTTTATTACATCTTTTAATTGAACGAAACTATCCATTCCGGTAACTTTCTTCTTCCCTGATCTTTTCTTACCCGGAGTCCGAAACACGGCGAGCAAGCCAGAGCCTTTAGCTTCCTTAATAATGCACCTAACAGTACTCACTGATGGTTTTGTTACTTCCGAAGTTTGTTTTAATTTTTCCATATCATTCTTCCCCTGTTTTATAATGAAGCAATATACGTCGTACACAATTTTTCTACCCTTTCTTTTGAATACTACACCGGTTTGTCGCGGCATAGTGTATGTTTTATAAAAAATCAACAAACACTCAACAAATAGCAATGGCACCAAAGTCCACAAGTAATTATAACAAATAACTTAACGATTAATAACGATAGACTTTCCACTGTACGCAAGCGTACTTTTGGGAGCAAGCGGAACGCGGGCGCGGTGCGGGACGCAAGGTTCGACTGATCTACCAATAACGCGCTCGATACGATTTCCCCTGCCGTCGCGCCTCACCCTCACCACCAAAGTGATCTAAAATTCGGTTCTGCGCAGTCANATTAATAACGATAGACTTTCCACTGTACGCAAGCGTACTTTTGGGAGCAAGCGGAACGCGGGCGCGGTGCGGGACGCAAGGTTCGACTGATCTACCAATAACGCGCTCGATACGATTTCCCCTGCCGTCGCGCCTCACCCTCACCACCAAAGTGATCTAAAATTCGGTTCTGCGCAGTCAAGGTCATTTGCTCAAGAAGTTTGCCGGTTACTATACACAGCTAACGTCGAAACTTGAGGAATTCTGAAATGAAAATAATAAACTTGAGAACCAGCATCTCGCAAACCCATTACCAAATCATTCAAAAAATGTCATGTAGGAATGACAAATGCCACCTATTTTTTAAAGTGCGATATACCATTTCCTCGGATATGTCTCGTCTCAATGAATGTTAACATAATCAAGTACAATAAAACCGATGGCTATGAAACAATTTTGCATTTCATAAATATTATTTAGATGCTTTAATGATTATTTTTCTGAAATTACTGGGTTTTCTTCTTGTCAATATAATTTACATTTTGTAATATGTTTGAAATATAATTTCCGAACCCGAGTTTATAAATTAAAAGAATTGTATAAACAGATAAAAAATGCCTTATGTGAAGTATTGATTAGAAGTCTGCGATTGTAAGGAATATACACTAATGAAACAATTCGCCCTACTTTTTTTAATACAATAAAATGAAATAATACTTTGTTTCTATTTTCGTGAGAAGCCAAAGTCTTCTTTTATGTAATAAGTGTAGTTTAAGTTTTTTAATGACGACTTGAGTCAACATAGAAACGCTTAAGAATTAATTGTATAGTGAAAAATAAAACATTGAAAATTGAGAAATTACGATTTGTTTCATTTCTTTCCTTTAAATCAATGAAAGAATTCTTTTTTATTTATTTTTGCTTTAATTTGTTGAAGGGTGGAAGGTTTGTTGAACGAACCCTCGGCCTATCCGATGTTAAAGTGGTTACGGGGATCCAGACAAATCGAGACTGCCTTAGAATCATATTCCTCGCAATTTTATAAGTACAACTTGACCGAGCTAAGTTTGCACCTCGCTGGAATGCGGCGGTCCGCCCGCTTCCCCGCTCACCTTCCCGCGATCGCCCTGTCGCGTCAGTACGGTTAGCATGTTTGTCGCCGACACGCGTCATACGAGTTTTCGTCTCCCTATACTTTGAATTTTAAAATTTTTAACTGTTCTTGTTAGGTTTTTTGTTGAAGTTTAGTTATATTATTGGACAATTTTTGTTGAACTGTTGTTACTGAACGCTTAACGTTCATTTTTTTTACTTCGATAGGATTGTTGTGGGCAACAAAATGAAAGGAAAGGTGATACACAGTGAAGGGAGAAACATAATCCTGAAAAAGAAACATAAAGGAAAATTATTACTGAGCAATTGGGATACAAATTTAAAAAGTGCAAGAACGCCCGGGTGGTCTTAATACAAAAACCCGATATTGCTATATTCTAATGTACCTATGTATAATATATTGTTAAAACGGTAAATGCAAAGTAAAATCTAACAAACATTTGTTTACATTTTTAAAGTCATAGCGAATCTTTTTTTCAGACCGTACCTAAGCGGCAGTGTGACGTAATCGATGTGAGGTGCAAACTTAGCTTGGTCGAGCTGTAATTGCGCAGACTATTATTATGCCGGCCACTCACATGCGCGCAAATATTCGTACACTGTACAAATGTTTGCGCGCATGTGAAGGGCCGTCAAACATTCATTCGCAAACTTAGCGGCTGTGCAAATGGGTTCGGTACTCAATTTGCGAACCCGTTCGCGCTTCCTCCTAAACTTGTTTACAAATGTCTTACGAATTTCTCCTCCTTTTTAATACGTCAATAGAACATTGAAGAGAAAAAGAGTTGAATTCTTTCCCAGACATCATTAACAGCCATGCTGTTTTTATGGGATTTCTTTTGATGATACGCTACACAGTAGATGTCACGATCTATGAAAATAGCGAAACGTCCGTTGCCTTCGCAATCCTGGGCGCAACTGGTCACACGAATGTGTGGGAGACTACACAAATGATCGAGGTTCGCGCGGTTTGATGTCCATTAAAAAACCGACACAGCTTGGAAAACCGCGAATGCAGCGAAAACTTTGCATAATCATTTGCAAATGTTGTCCTACACTTGCGGGATTGCGTATTCGTGCGAATGTGAGTGATCGGTATTAGCAATACGAGTATACCGGACACTCTTTAGTCTACGACTTTGTTTATAAAGTTGTATATATTTCATTAAAACAAGATCTGCACATAAATTATTTATTAATCACATACATGTAACATATAAGTACATAACTTACATGCTAAACAACATTGTGGATTATATTGGACATAATTCAATAATAATATAAATAAATATGGCACTATTAATGTATGTATAACTAGTTGCATAATAATATTTTGTTTACCAAGAAAACGTTTTTACTGTAAACATTTCAGACACTATTTGTAACTAGTAAAATCAAGATTTTTTGGCGTAAGTCACATTTTGTTTGTAAACAAAATCTTCAAAACGCCACAATCTCAGAATAAATCAGTGGTATTCAGATTTACAACTTTAGGTTTACAATAAAACTAATATCTTACAAAAAAACATTTATCACAATAATGAGTTTAAATAATACTGTAAATTAATATATTATGGTTAAAAACTACACAGCCTTTTCACAAATACAAGGGAATGTATCAATGTTCTACAACTATAATACCTAGTTTATCTAAGAAACTACAAAATCTCAAATTGACTAAATTTTATAAATGCGTATCTTCAGAAAAAATCAACTTATCCAAAATCTTATAAAGCTATAACTACTACCTTAGTACATTGTCTAACGGAAATAAGAGAGGAGCATTTGGAATATCTTCAGATGAGATATTTAAGTACAGTTGGTAAAAAAGTCTTAAACAAACCTAAATAGCTATTTGGACAAAAATGATGTTTTTTAGCTTGTTCCTCTTATACTATTTGAGGAAATTTTAAAAGAGGGAACAAAATAGAGATTAATCTCTATAATAGTTAATTATTACATGCAAATTTCTTAATACCATAAGCCCATCTACAATTACATCTACTACTACTACAACGATTTGTCACAAAATTATACATTATATTAAATTTACATTTCAAAATCATTTTTTACACAACAAAGTTACAAATTTTTTTAAGCAACAAAGTTATACTTCTTTTTGCCTGCTTGAAAAACGAATGTTTCGTACTTATTGTAACACATAATTTATTCCATGATCAAGATTTGGATAATATTTATTCATGTTTTATTTAATTTTATGAGTAAGAAATATTAAATCACAATGATTTTTTTAAATTTATTTTGTGAATGTTCAATTGGACCTACTGGCTTTGCTGCTAATCTAATCTACAGGTATTGTGAAGAGAATGAAACACCTCTGCACATACTATGTGACTACTACGCCTTAGGCAGCAAAATATACTCAATCTTCAGAGAGCATATTGCCTCAAGCAGGTAAATAAAGTTGATTCCTGAAACATAGTTTAGTTTATGCTGGTTTTGGGCCAGGACATCTAATACTCAGAAGAAGTTACAATATATCCACCTATAGAACAGACTGCCCAAGACCGATGTAAATGGAAAAATTTGATTCGAGCCCTACACCCCAGCAGAGGGTAATAGGAAGGAATAATGATGATGATGGGGCACCATGCAGTTGGGTTGATAACTTCACAAATTTTTAAGAATAGTTATAATTGTTGAGTTGTTAAATAATTCAATTACTATAATAATACTAATAACCTGCAAATATTCCATCCATTTTTAAAAGGCCTACTAGATATGGCTCTTTAGGAATCTAGTTTGCAAGAATTTATTTTTACAAATAGCAAAAAAATTAATCATAATTTAGTTTGGTGATAGAAAATATGTCAAACAAAAAGTATATTGCGATTTTATTATGCAACGAGAAACAGAAACTTAACTAATATTTCTAGATAGATCTTGAATCCTTCTTGCATTACATTCTTTGCAATACAAATGGTTGTCAAGCGGATAGCATCCACGACCTTCCTGTCGCGAGCACAATGACGCCCCGCAATCTTCACAGGAATAACATGCTACATGGAAGCTCTTGTCTAGAGCGACGATACGTACTGTCTCTTCAGTTCCACCTTCAGGTACTATGGGCTCACGACACCTCGCACACCGGGGAGCATATCTAGAAACACAATAGAGTAATTGAGGCTTAAAGGAAAAGAAGCAGTCCTGCGTTCTTGTTTGAAAAGTTGGGACAAACTTATAATTTAGTGCCCACAAACACCCACAAAATTAGTTCTTACTACCCACATGATAGTGATACCTACATGTGCGGGCTCACAAGATGGCGTACCACCAGTAATTACGCAAATTAATAATTTTGCAAGTTTGATTTTTATTATACATACAATTTTACTCTTTCATTGTGGAAGTCATTTGTGACCAAGTGGTAAGTACGTATTTCATTACCAAAATTGCCTGCGTAATTCGTAGATTGGCAGTTGTATAGCTCGATACGAATGCTCCCGGTGTCGTTAATATTTAGTCTATGACAGCTTAAAAAAATGTGAGTTTTATAACTATTTTAAATTTTGTTATTAAATTTTTACCTTTTATGAAAGTCTTCAATGCAATGGATACGGTTCACAGCATCCACGGTAAATGGGATTCCATCTAAACTTTTTTGACACACCACACAAGTAAAACAGCGAGGATGGTAGGGTTTGCCTGTAGCTCGCAAGATGCGGTCTAGGATTGGATCTCCACATACACAGCACTTCTCAAGGGTTTCCAAGTAGTCTCGTTCACAAAGAGCTCGTCCTTGAACAGCATAGAAAGGTCGGCCCTGAAAAACAATAAAATAAATTCTTTTTCTTAAATACTTGTAACATTTAATGGAAAACCTGTAAATATAATTCAAATTCTATATGTACTTATAACTGTAGGAATTTATGAAACTTAAAAATGAGAATGATTCGCTTCTGATGACAAAGATAATGATTACTCATACTGAATTCTAACAAACTTGAATATGGTCATGACTTATGTAAGTGCACTGTTTTCTCACACGGTCTGTAACCACATAAACTCTTCAGATTTACTACTGTTTTTATTTATTTTGTGAGGAATTATTATATTTATATTATTTATTATTATGAATTATTATAATTTTTTATTTATCTTCATGACGATACCGGGCCCTAACATGAATAACTGAAGACTGCATCAGAATGCTTCTTCAAAAAAGCAGCATGAGATTATAACTCCTTAATCATTGTTGCAGCTAATTATAAGCACAACCCAGATAAATGGACAACACAAAGCCACGATTGCCATAAGCATGTTCTATCAGATCTTCCTGATCCACAATCAGTAATTTCACACACTTCAAGTATCAGTCATTGTTCACAAGTTCAAGAATTTGACTTGCAACCTAACCCACAGATAGGGCATTGAGTTTTTCATCTGGTTGCAAATAAGTGGTAGGTCCAGTGAAACACTGCTCTTGAGAGAACAAAAGTTAACAAATTCTCTCAGGTTGAGCCCTGTGAGCTCAGAGACCAAACTGTACATAGTTGGTATAGCCCCGTGGGCCACCAATGATTAATTAGGGGAAAATTACTCTGCACTCCTGGGAGGAGCAGCACCATTATTAGCAATGTTATTGCTGATAATGCTGTTATGTTTAAAACTGTATGACTTGCCCTCACCTGTAAATTTATCGAACACTGTTGACAACAGAAACACTTGATATGGTAGATTCTCTCCATTGCGGTACATCCAGTGGTTTCTCCCATGATTTTCTCACCACACTTGTAACAATTCCCACAGTACAGAGCATCGTCTGGTTCTGGAGTCGGCTCAGCAGTTGCTACATAGCCAGCATACATCGAGGTGCCTGATAGTTGGCTGCAAGGTCTTGGGTTTATAGGTTCATATAAAGATTCATATGTGGACGAAGTTTGAGAGCCACCATAAGTAGAGAAATCCTGTGCATTGACGGAAGCAGAAGACGGCGGATACGCGGATCCCGGTCGTCTTAATTCACTGTAATTAGACTGAGCACCCAAATCACTTATCCTGGACACTTCAGAGCCCCTATCGTAAATGCTGTCTCCGCCGTAAGCACGTTGCATCATAACGTTTGAATACACATGGTTGGTGCCTCCCGGAGGTAAGAGATTGCTGTATAGAAGTACATCACCGCTCCGCATCCGCCCAGTGTTGTTCCTAACTATAAAACTCTTCACGGGTACTAAGTTTGAGTATGTAGAACTTCGCTGACTGCCATATTCAAGTCTCGAGGAGTAGGAGGGCTCGCAAGCCGATTTTACAGTATAGCTCTGGGGTATTTGAGGCAGCGGCGCCTTATTTCTTTTCGGCGGTAGGGAAGGTTTCTGTTTTGCGTGATTTATGTCATCTTGAAGCTTTGCATCAAGCTCGTTTGCGTATATTCGTAAATCTGCTAATTGTTTGTCCAGAGTATTCATTGTAGGTATAGCAATTAAATAGATAAAGTCGAAAATATTCAATTGTATTTACGCAATTTTACCTACGCCCAATTTTTATTGTTTGAGTTTGATGCACATTTACCATCTTTCAGCTTTGACAGTTGACTGTTGACACATTGACATCGCACCTACTTTTTTATGACCTGGTAACATAGTTCTTTAGGTCTAATCTTTGTTGGAAAATGTTCATTACCAGTAGGTAGTACTTACATCAGTTTACTCGGAGACACAGACTGGTGTAGAACTTGAGAGCTTAAAATGGCCTTTCTCTGCATTTCTACGCTATCACTTGAGCATTGTTGGTGGTACAGCCAAGCCGCTGAACTGTGGTTTGCTCTGCGGTTGAGGAAAGATATGTCGTAGCGCTCATGGAAGCACCGTGTAGGGGAGGTCAAACTAAAACCGGATGGTATGTGTCACAAAAGATGTCTAGAACGCACTGCAGACATGAACGCTTTCGCCATACGAAGAAGAGAATTCATTTATCGTGTATATTGCCGTTTGCATTGTCATTGTTAGACGCCAGTACCAACGTCAACCGAGAAGTCTGGTGTCTTAGGCTCGCACGAATATGTCACCAGGCCCATTTTTTGCCGTAAAGCAGCAATGCGTTTTGAATTTAAAGGTAGGGCAGCCGTTATACTTTAAAAAACTGGAACTTAGTATGTTATATTGTTACGTCTCAGGGTGGGTGATGGGTGACAGCATTTAAGTTGTTGACCACATATTACTATGTGGGTCGTGAGTTTGTTCTCTCAAATTAGCAAACTTAATAAAAGTCCAAGTCTCGAACGTGGTTACTTTTTTACCTAGATTTCCATATTTCAGAAGACATAACGTTACTCAATATTACCTTTAAAGTTCGTTTTCTATAAAGCATAATTTGTCCCAGGTTGCTTAGTGTTGTAATTCATAACATTTGGATCCTCATAACCTATGGGTAGCACGACAAACGATACTATCAATAGGTAGTTAAAAAGCTTAACAATCACTTTCAAAGCAATTAGTTTTATATGTACCTAGTATGAACTAAATCTGATAAAATTAATGACCTAGTTCATATTTCTAGGCGCTTGAATTTTATTACTTATATACACAGAACAATTGAAAACTATGAAGCGGCTGATTTTTATTTCGCTTTTGTATATTTCCGTGAGTGTATTTTTTTTTACTTTTTATATTGGTCTTTTATCTATAATATATATTCAACGATTTTTGTGTTTTCAGCTACTACGCGTGAATGCTGACTTAAATAGCGAAGAAGAAGGTTTGTTCAAATCACAATTTTTATAGATAGGTAATGGAATACCTAGTTTCATACATACCTACTTGTTTACTTATTACGAGTTAGAATTTAAAAAAACATTCAACCTTATCAATTAGATATGACCAAATAATCAGAAATTAATTTTAAGAGTGAAATCCATACATTAAACTTAATAATGAGTCTGTTTCGAGAGTGTATCCCTATTCTCTTCAAACAAAAATAATCGGCCCCTAAACAACGAAGTTAATGATGAACTGACACTTGAAACATGATATAGAGTTGAAGAGAGAACCTCTTTTTTTAAGGCGTTTTAAAAGTAATTTACTAACGATCTAAGATTATTTCAGATGTTTTTACAACTGAGGCAACAGAAGAAGAGGTATTAAATAAAATTATTAAATTTCTAAACACATTACAGAAACCATGGTTTTTACAGCTTACCTAGATCTCTGAAAAAACCTACAGTCAACATTTTTGTTTTTCAGTGGCACATGGATTTTATGCCGGTAAGCCTTATTTAAATACTAGCGACCCGCCCTCGCTTCGCTTCGGAAATATTAAATTTTATTATTGATAGCGGAGTCCCGCGACATTACCCGCGGCTATTGTCATATCGCAGGGACGCCGCGGGGCTAAGCTAGTCTAAAAAAAGTAGCCTAAGTTACTCCTTATATCATCAGCTATCATTACTTACCTACCTAAAGTCTCGTCAAAATCGGTCCAGCCGTTCCACAGATTAGCCGAAACAAACAGACAGACAGACAGACAAAAATTGTAAAAAATATTATTTTGGTGTATGTACCGTATATGCATGTAGTATAGTAACCGGCAAACATCTTGAGCAAATGACCTTGACTGCGCAGAACCGAATTTTAGATCACTTTGGTGGTGAGGGTGAGGCGCGACGGCAGGGGAAATCGTATCAAATCAAATGAAATCAAAAATTTTTTATTCAACATAAATGAAAGTACATACTTGTTGAACGTCAAAAGAACTACCGCCAATTCACAAGAACTAGCCTCCGTCCTGAGAAGAATTGGCAAGAAACTCAGCGGGCATGTCTTTTTTTTTTTACATATAAAATTATTATTTATTTATTTTTTAATATTAGATTTTTTTTAAATATGAATTTTTTACACTGAGTATTATAATGTAACAATTACTACAATATTGAAATGCCTGGAGCGAGCAACTCATTCCCACTTTGTGCAATCTTCTAGATAATCATTGACTTTATAGTAAGCTTTATTGCACAGATGTTCTTTAATAGTTTTCTTAAACCTATGTATATGTAGGTTCTGAACATCATGTGGGATTTTGTTGTACAGGCGCACAGACAAACACCCGAATGAATTTCGTATCTTATGTAACCTACTCATCGGCACAACAAGCTTGTGTTTGTTCCTAGTATTTCTATTATGTATGTCCGACTGTTTAGGAAACTCCTCAATATGTTTACGAACATACATCAAATTTTCAAAAATGTACTGGGATGGCATAGTGAGAACTTTAATTTCTTTAAATTTCTCCCTCAGGGATTCCCTTGAGTGCATGTTATAAATAGCACGTATAGCTCTTTTCTGCAGAATAAATATCATTTCTACATCGGCCGCATTGCCCCATAGCAAAATGCCATAGGACATGACACTGTGGAAGTAACTAAAGTAAACTAAACGAGCCGTGTCCGCGTTTGTTAACATTCTAATTTTTTTTACTGCGTATGCTGCAGAGCTGAGCTTACTCGCCAATTTATGAATATGAGGTCCCCATTGCAGTTTGGAGTCCACTGTTATACCAAGAAATACGGTTGACTCAACAAGCTCCAATGATTCCTCAGAAACAATTACATCACTATCCACTTGTCTCACATTTAAAGATGGTTTAATACATTTTAAAGTAAATTTAATACATTTAGTTTTCTTACTATTCAATAATAGGTTATTGATACGGAACCAATGAACCACACACGAAATCGCATCATTCACTTCGTCATAGACTTGTAATTGTCGTTTAATTTTAAATAATAAAGATGTATCATCTGCGAATAATACGACCTCGTGTCGGGACTCAATAAAACTAGGTAAATCGTTTATATATATTAGAAATAAAAAAGGACCCAAAATGGAACCCTGAGGTACACCCATTTTCAACAAGGTGCCTGAAGATCTATTACCTTTCACATCTACTGTTTGTATCCGTCCTGATAAATAGGAAGTAATAAGTTCCAATGCACCATCCCTAATACCATAGTGATGTAGTTTCCTCACCAATGTTTCATGTTCAACACAGTATCGAGCGCGTTATTGGTAGATCAGTCGAACTTTGCGCCCCGCACCGCACCCTCGTTCCGCTTGCTCCCAAAAGTACGCTTGCGTACAGTTAAAAGTCTATCGTTATTAATCGTTAAGTTATTTGTTATAATTGCTTGTTGACTTTGTTGCCATTGCTATTTGTTGAGTGTTTGTTGATTTTTTATAAAAAATACACTATGCCGCGACAAACTGGTGTAGTATTCAAAGGAAAGGGTAGAAAAATTGTGTACGACGTATATTGCTTTATTATAAAACAGGGGAAGAATGATATGGAAAAAGTAAAACAGACTTCGGAAGCAACAAAAACATCAGTGAGTACTGTTAGGTGCACTATTAACGAAGCTAAAGGCTCTGGCTTGCTCGCCGTGTTTGGGACTCCGGGTAAGAAAAGATCAGGGAAGAAGAAAGTTACCGGAATGAATAGTTTCGTTCAATCTGTAATAAAAAGATGTCATCATAATAACTACATAACAAGCAGCGAAACTCCGTACCGTAGAAAGGCTTCGAAAAATTTCAAGAAGATATACATTTTAATGGCTCGGAATGAAGTTTACGACGAATTATGAAAGAGCTAGGCTTCAGATGGAAAAAAAAAACAGAAAATAATCAGAAGCTGGTAATTGAAAAAAGTAACATTCGATTACTACGAATCGAATATCTTCAAAAAATAATTAATTATAGACAAAAAAGAAGATCGAGCCGACCGAGTTGTAAACTACACCGATGAGCCCTATGTCGACTCATCACGATGATGGCGACTCGGGTGGTGAAAACAGTGATGATGGTGATGGTCAAGATTATGATAACGAAAAAAAATTACAAATACTAGCTTCGCTTCAACTGAGCCAAGACCTGGCAACAGCTCTAGTTTTGACTTAATAGAAGGAATATCTATTTTACCCCAAGATTAAATTATTACAATTATTAACCTATATTTTTTGTTGATGTTCTAATAATATATAAATAAATACATATGTTGATTTTAATAATTTAATTGCATTATGACGCAGAGTAAATAATGTTTTTGCACGTGAGTGTACCATGCGCGAACTTACCCCCACTACGTCAACAAATGCTCAAGAAGTTTGCCGGCTATTATAAAATGAGGCTATTTCAATATTACAAACACACTCAAATTTTATTTATATGTATAGATTATTTGATTTTAAGATTTCATACTACATTTTAATTCATAATTAATTCGATTTTTTTTTCTTTGTTAGACTGGTTATTTACCCGATAGCGTTTATAGAGAACTAGCTTGGTATGGTATTCTGCAAATTCAACCACTGCATCACAGTGCCAAACACAAAGTTGCTGCCCAGTTAATTTGGCAGCACACTCTTGGGAGACCTCATGTTATATTGGAAAACCCTCCTCAGGTAAATGATATATCTATAATTATATGGTCATAATTTTAGTTCACTTGTATTTAAATTAACATATCTTTTCGTGTAAAGGGGTGAATGTCTCTAGTAATTATTAACATCATATACAGATTACAAATTGGTAGAGTCCGGAGTTCCAAATATGGTTAACCAATAAATCCGAATGCAGAGCTAATATGCAGCAGGACTGTTGCATGACAAAACAGGAGTGTAATATAAGAAAAGGAAAGAATTTATTATTTCGATTATTTTAATTGTATTAAATTGTATATTTATAGTTATTGTTCGCACAACGGGAGTTATGTTTGTCTGACAAGTTTAAATGTCTCAAGTTTATATTGTGACACGCGAAATCATAGAAGTACATTTTATTTATTTATTTATTTATTTATTTATTTATGGATTACAGACAGGGTTTACAGTAAGACATAAAATAACATTGACATGTATAGAGCAACTGATAACTGCAACTCTAATTAGAGGCAATCACAGCATGCATTACATTAATATATCAATAGAGATTTAACAATACTATTAATAATAATAAAAAATTAAAATCAAAAGAAAGACAACAAAGACAGCAATACCCGAGTACTCAGACCAAGGCTGAGGCTGAGGTTCAACAACAACTTTTTATAATTTTGTTCCTGAATATTGGAAGGGAATCGCCAAATATGTCAAGGTTTTCAGCTTTTCTTGCTAGATTATTATAAAGGTTAGTTAGACGAGGAGTAGGTGAGTGCTTGCCTAGATTGGTTCTGCTAAAGCGGAAATCATTAATATTAATCAAATTAGTTACTAACCGATTTTTTTTTCAGTCCACTCAATCGCCAGGTAAGATAAGCCGACAGATACTGGCGGAGGAGGCGGCGAAGTGGTCAAGGGAACAGCGAGCCGCCCAAGAAGTGCTGATGGAGAATATCAAGAGTGGCGGTAACGGGTTAACCGTGAGAACGGTTATCAGCGCTCAGAAGAAAACCACTTACATCATACAGAATGGTACACGAAACTAAATTATACTTAAAGTATTTTATTTTTTCTCCAGTCGTAGACATAACTAAAGCTATTTTTAAAACGACACTAACCGCTGAACTGTATTCGAAACATCACAAATAATTTAATGACAACGTGAAAATAAATTGTAAAAGCTTTGAACACGTCTAGCTGGTACATTGGACGTACGACACGGCCCAAATAAAGTCTACTATATTTAGTAGACTCGCTTCTCACCTTGTTTGTTGACATTGCTCCATCTAGACGCGTATTTAATCAAAGTGTAAAAGTAGTTTTAATAAAATTGTTATCATTGGTAATAATGTACTTTAATTTCCCAGTAGGTAACGATATAAATTTTATAAATATGGCTACAGATCCTTTACTTTTTTGATTTAGGCTGGCTTATTAATGAGCCATTTAAATATTGGTATTAAATAGATATAATGTATGTGCAGCCGAATCCTCCCTGTCATCTGATCTTAAGTTAACTATTCCCTGGGCTCAAAATCCACAATGAGAACGCCACAATGGCATAATCAAACCATTGGGGACTGTATTGGCAAAACTTAAGAACTCATATTTCAAAGTGGGTGGCGGCATTTACGCGGCTTTTCCACTTATCTAAGGATTAAAAAATAAAAACTGGTAACCCGCTCTACCACTAGGGATCTATCATTAAACACTAGGGATCTATTCACAAATCAGTAGTGAATTTGGGCCTTCTTATAATACTTTACGTAGTTTGCGTAGTGGTACCTGCCAGTCAGGCGGGCATGCTATGGCACTGCATCCTGCCTATTTCTGCCGTAAAGCAGTAACGATCTGAAGGATGGGGCAACCGTTGTACTGTAAAAAGAGAGACCTTAGAACTCATATCTCAAGGTAATTGGCGGCATTTACGTTGTAGATGTCTATGGGCTCCAATAACCACTGAAAACCAGGTGGGCTGTGAGCTCGTCCATCCATCTAAGCAATAAGAAAGAAACTTCGATTCATCGGCAACTGTTTTCGCGATATTGTTATGTCACCTCTATTTTTTAAACCAGGTAATTACTACAGATGTCCCGACGGCTCTGAACCAGATCTAGATGCTTATAGAGTCCAAGCGAACATGCACGAACGAAAATGCACGTTTGGAAGACAATCCATTCCAGTACCGGTCGATCCCTGCATAGAGGCCGAAGTGGCGCCAATAGAATACTCTTTCCACGAAGGTTGGATGTTCTGCCTCGGTAATGGCGAGAGAGAAAACAATTATTTCCAAAACGGAACATTGGACTGTGGGAACAAAACTAAGGTGAGAAAACAAAAATATGTTTTTTTCTCAATTTGTGATTGGTACCCCCGTTTTGATAATGATATCGAAGCAGTATGTATGGATTAATTTTATGTGTTCTAATGTGTTTTTAACACGGTTTTGTTAGCTTGACCTCTATGTATCTAACCGAATATTAGGACGTCATTTTTACTAACTTCGAAACATCCAATTAACTGGAGAAATTGCAGACGCGTCAAGGAGCGATTACGAAATTTACCTAATATCTTGATCCCGATCACCACAGTAAAACAATGATTTATTTATGGTTTAGTTCGATTAATTAAAACTATGTTTTTTTTTACGTAATTTAAGGTGCCCGTTCATGAGTTTCTAGATCTATGCGCCATCGACAATAACATTGTTATAACATTTGATTACTTCGGTGACGAGCCACGAAAAGACATGATGCACAATGCGACATTGTGCACTTCTTGGGATCCATGCCGATTGTCTTATTTGTATCGACTTGAGGTAATTTCATGACCCTACTTAATTTAATTACATAATTCCTTTATAGCTAAGCTGTGAGTAGATAGCCATAAATATAATACAAATTTTGGTTACAAAAGAAATCGACTGAATCATCCTAAAACGAGAAAGCATCATTGTAGTTGAAGTCATTAAAATAGGCTTAAGGATAAATCAAAGGGAATGCCCTAATGGACTAATGAGTCATTTTATGATGAAATTGGAATAGGGCCTTAAGAGAAGCCACAGCCTACTGAGTTTCTCGCCGGATCTTCTCAGTGGGTCGTATTTCCGATCCGGTGGTAGATTCTGCGGAGCACTCCTCGTGCTAGGGTTAGTGTTAGCAACGTCGTCAGGTTTGAGCCCCGTGAGCTCACTTAATTATTTAGCTTAGGTACGAAAAAAACAAAACAAAAAAGAGGACCCTTCAAATATTTAACGTGTTCAACAAACATCAAAGTCGGTTCACCTTAAAAAATATCTAACGTAACACATAAAAATACAATCAGATTCAGACCCTCCTCCTTTCTTGAAGTTCGTTAAAAATACATGTACGTTAATACTTAAATAATAACATTTTCAAAGGCTGGATAGGTCGGTAGCGTATAAATGAAATATTGTTTTTTTATTTTAAACTGAGAGTCGTTTATTCCGACTGCAAGAAAAATAATTACTCTAGTAATCAGTAATATATGTAAATGATAAAATATATAATTGGTATTTTACCAAGAGCTAATCAGTATGCAAATATAGCCGTACCATTTAAACTGGCCTAAAGGTCTTGTTACCAGGCCATAATTATTCCAAAAAAGCCTTTGAACGAGACGGGGCGCATAATTTGTCTATTTTCACCTTCATGCAATGAGTCGACTTCCAGCCGCCTCCAGTCGAAATGACGCCATCCTTCCCTACCACAACGCCTAATCCATGCGAGATAACAGTGTGCCCAGATTGCTTGGATGGGGTCACAGAAAGGATCGGAGAAGTTATTGAAGGTGAGCCAAGTATATTAATAAATATATAGACAGAACATTTTGGTTTATGTGCTTAGAACAATATTACATACTCTTAATATTATATATCTATAATAAAATAAAAATTAAATTATGATATTCAGTTACTGTATCTTTTAACTGAATTTCGTTAGGTACGTTTATGGAGGGTAGAACTAAGGAGCACCATCTTGTTTGGGGACAAGTTGAAAAAGTGTCCATCTGTAAACAGCAAATTATAGTTCGAAAACTCACCGAATTAGCGCTAGTGTAGCAAGGGGAAATAGTATGAATATAGAAGCTTTAAACTGAGTGAAGTGTGCTGGATTGCAGTGAAGGGTAGGTTCCGATTTACACTGCGAGCACTGTTCAGTGCTCTCACTGCTATTCGTTACCTACGTTAAGGACTGACAGTATACAGTCGTAGTAACTTAAAGAATGATTGATGATACATGATGATGAAAGGAACGGAGGAATGATACATGATTTCATAAATCTTCACTTCAGCACTTTTACCGTGCATAACCTCATTTCAATAATACGGTTATTAAGTTATTATAGATTAAATTGCTTGAAAAACAATATTTTCTTTTACTAAAAATATACTTACTGTTAGTGATTAATTAAACTGACAATAACTGGAATATTCTATTTTCAAATATAAGTAAATTTAAACAAGATTTTATAGGTTATTATATTTTATATTTTATAGATTTTATAGATTAGGTACTTTTATAAAATTTATAACTTTGAGTTTTCAGCCCCCCCCCCCCCCGGCCACACGGCCTATGGCATTTTGCCAACAATGCCAATTTATAAGTTAAGCCACTTTTTCCCATACATACACTGCAACTAATGCCCGTATCTTTAGACGTTTCGTCAAATAATCCTCCACTCTTAACTCATCCGATGATGCTCGAGCATCCCTCCCAAACTTACTCGAGTTTCGTATTTTTAGTCGACCATTACAATATTCCTCAACTGTCCTTGAGTGAGGTAGAGTCGCGTTATTGCGTCACCACGACAACATCAGTTTGTGGAAAATTTGATCAAGCTAGCATCAAACCCATTGAAGAACTCAATGGGTACGTCGCAACGTACCTTGACTTGACAGTTCGTTCACTCCACTCCGGTTAGGAAATTTTTCCAAGGACGTTTGAGTGGAGTTTATTTTTACGACTAATAAGCATACGAAAACGGGCGTTGGAAGTTGAGTCGAGTCGAGTTAAGCTCGTGTGAACGACTAAAGATACGGGGGTAAGACTTTTAACATAAAACATTTTTTAGTTGTACATTGGATAGAATTTGATGATATATTATTGTTCTAGTGGACTCAGAGGATAAAAAAAATGTGGGATCTAAATCAAAAGATTTTGATATCTAGCAAGATGTTAAACATACATTGTAAAACAAGTTATCAGAAAAGTTTTTGATTAAAGATTTATGTGTGATCATTCAATATCCTAATCCCATATTTTTAAGTGTGTTGATAATTTTAAGAATTTGTCTCCTTTTTCTTGTAAATATGAGAATAGAGAAGTTGCAAAGGCACCTTGTGTCTGTAACAGTTGTATATCAAGTATTCTATGAGCTTTTTTGTTGACTTACCAAAAAATACATATCTAAATCTACTTGCCAATGATATATGTACACCTTCCTTCCAATTTTAGTCTTTGGATTAAAAAGTAAATGAATAATCGGGAACAAATCACCTACGGTCATCTGGCACTCTTGGAGTATGGAAATCTCTAATTGACAGACACACCTAAATGTAATATAAACAATATAAACAAACATCAAAACCGGTAAAACTTCAGGATTCTGGAAACTTCTGGTTTTGCTCAATATACGGAACCTGTTATACTTACAAACAGGATATTGCAATAGACTGATTGATGTTAAATAACTAATAGCTAAAAGTCTTGGCTGAAAAGACATTAGTACGACTAAAACAAGACACCAACTTCTTCAACAAATTGGGATGTAGAGATGTTGTTAAATAGTTACGTTGGTGTGTGTTCCGGCGATAAAACCGTAATGTAACACTTAACGCCAGTGTTGAAGCAATAACAGGCGGATTAAGGACAATTCCGTATTATTTTAACATGGCATGAACCGAGTTTCCGAAATCTGTGCGTCAATGGTGTACGCGGTATATGTGGGACTGCCGTGGCTAGTAGCAGCTATCCACTTAACGAATCCCATGTATGTACTATCGCCCGCATTTGGGCCTAGTTAGATGACCTACTAGTTAGATTTTTTTACAGACAGTTTAAGGAAATTCACAAATAATTTATTTATTTTATTTATTTATTGAACTGAAAGTTCTTTATCGACGTGGGAAGGAAAAAAAGTATCTAACGTTTTTCGGTTACGCGCCATCGTAAATTCTTCCGTTACGCGCCATGTTTATTTTATTTCTATTTAGTTTGTTATCAACAGATGTCGCTGCTATATTTTATAAGTTTCCCTTCTACCGTGTGTGACTTGCACACAAACACTTTTATTATTTATTTATTGTTAGCATAGAAACACAATCATAATTTGCATCTGTGCTTGAACTAGGTAATAAGTGATAAAACCTGTATCTCAAGCAGCCGTGCTCCTGGTACAAAGAATACAACAGCTTTACTTCAAATACACAAAAATAGAAAAAACTAAACTGAAATTAATGGATTGCATAAAAGTGACAATATGTGAGCTTAAAATATAACAATGAACAAAAAATATACCTAGAAATGAATGTATTAATGTACCCTCTGTATGTAATGAGAACATCATTACCTCTTCCGCGATCATTAGATCTTCCAAAGAAGTCGATGTGGAGGATAGCTTCCACCGCATCAGGCTGTCCCTCGAACTTAGGAATCTCTTAAGAGTTAGAAACGCGGCAATCCGGGCCTACGATCGCCTTCCCACGCATTCAAACCGGACTCGGATGCGTCGTCTACAACGCGAAGTCAAATCCCGCTTAAGCGACGCCCGTAACGTGAATTGGCATAGTTATCTAGAGGAACTCGCGCCCTCTCACCAAGCATACTGGCGACTAGCTAGGACTCTCAAATCCGAAACTACCGCTACTATGCCTCCCCTCGTACGCCCTTCAGGCCAACCACCGGCATTCGATGACGATGACAAGGCTGAGCTGCTGGCCGATGCACTGCAAGAGCAGTGCACCACCAGCACTCAATACGCGGACCCCGAACACACCGAGTTAGTCGACAGGGAGGTCGAGCGCAGAGCTTCCCTGCCGCCCTCGGACGCGTTACCCCCCATTACCACTGACGAAGTTAGAGACGCGATCCATAACCTCCAACCTAGGAAGGCACCCGGCTCCGACGGCATCCGCAACAGCGCGCTAAAACTTTTGCCAGTCCAACTGATAGCAATGTTGGCTACCATTTTAAATGCCGCTATGACGCACTGCATCTTTCCCGCGGTGTGGAAAGAAGCGGACGTTATCGGTATACATAAGCCGGGCAAACCGAAAAACGAAACTTCTAGTTACCGTCCGATTAGTCTCGTCCCGACGATAGGAAAAATTTACGAACGGCTCCTTAGGAAACGCCTCTGGAACTTCGTTACCGCGAGTAAAATTCTCATAGACGAACAGTTCGGATTCCGCGCTAAGCACTCGTGCGTACAACAAGTGCACCGCCTCACGGTGCACATCCTGATAGCGCTAAATAGGCGTAAACAACTCCCGACCGGCGCCCTCTTCTTCGATGTAGCGAAGGCGTTCGACAAAGTCTGGCACAACGGTTTGATCTACAAACTGTACAACATGGGAGTGCCAGACAGACTCGTGGTCATCATACGAGACTTCTTGTCGAACCGTTCGTTTCGATATCGAGTAGAGGGAACTCGCTCTCGTCCTCGTCAACTGACTGCCGGAGTCCCGCAAGGCTCCGCGCTCTCCCCGTTATTATTTGGTTTGTATATCAACGATATACCCCGGTCTCCGGAGACCCATCTAGCGCTCTTCGCCGATGACACGGCTATCTACTACTCGTGTAGAAAGGTGTCGTTGCTTCATCGGCGACTCCAGATCGCAGTAGCCACCATGGGACAGTGGTTCCGAAAGCGGCGAATCGACATCAACCCCACGAAAAGCACAGCGGTGCTCTTCAAAAGGGGTCGCCCTCCGAACACCACTTCGAGCATCCCACTCCTTAATAGACGCGCAAACACCTCCGCCGTTAGCCCCATTACTCTCTTTGGCCAGCCCATACCGTGGGCCTCGAAGGTCAAATACCTAGGCGTCACCCTCGACATAGGGATGACATTCCGTCCCCACATAAAAACGTTACGCGATCGCGCCCCGTTTATACTAGGACGACTCTACCCAATGCTTTGTAGTCGAAGCAAACTGTCCCTCCGTAATAAGGTAACTCTACAAAACTTGTATACGCCCCGTCATGACGTATGCAAGCGTAGTGTTCGCTCACGTAGCCCGCACCCACTTCAAATCCCTTCAGGTTATTCAATCCCGATTCTGCAGGATAGCCGTCGGAGCACCATGGTTCCTGAGGAACGTGGATCTCCACGATGACCTGGAGCTCGACTCAGTAAGTTCCTACAGTCGACATCGCTGCGCCATTTTGAGAAGGCGGCACGACATGAGAACCCTCTAATCGTAGCCGCTGGAAACTACATACCCGACCCAGTAGACCGAATGCTAAACCGTCGACGTCGCCCAAAGCACATCATTACGGATCCTCGTGATCCATTAACGGTGCTTTTAGGCACCACAAGCACCGTTCACCATCCTCGTCGAACCCGTCGCTTGCGACGAATGGCTCGACGAGCGAATTAACCCCATAGACACAGCCCACTGAGTTTCTCGCCGGATCTTCTCAGTGGGTCGCGTTTCCGATCCGGTGGTAGATTCTGCGAAACACTGCTCTTGCTAGGGTCAGTGTTAGCAATTCTCCGGTTGAGCCCCGTGAGCTCACCTACAAACGTTAGGGTGAAGCTGAAATAGCCTCTCAAGGCTATCAGCATAGGTAGGGAAAAAAAGGATGTAATGAGTCTGAGCATGAGCGAGTGTAAGAGGGTGTGTGTGGGTGTAGTCAAGAACATTAAAAGTTATTTAACAAAACTTCAGTGTCCTCATAGTTGAAATTAAGCAACCAATTAAATATATAATTTCTGCATTTCTTGCTATTTAGGGGATATATATTAAGGTGTTTATTAATTTTATTATAAAGATTGGGACCTAAGTAGCAAAAAAACCTATGGATAAATTGAGTTTTAAATGGGATGGTTTTACAGACATTATGAATACGTCGCCTCTGTATCAAATTAGGGTTGTAAGTACAAATGGAATGCTGTTTCAAGATTATTTTTTAATTAAACAATTGCCGGATACTAAGCACTTCACAATTTTGATAAAGCTGATGTGTAGGGTACATCTTAGATACCCTCAGACACAGCCCACTGAGTTTCTCGCCGGATTTTCTCAGTGGGTCGCGTTTCCGATCCGGCGGTAGATTCTGCGAAGCACGGCTCTTGCTAGGGTCCGTGTTAGAAACGTCGTCAGGTTTGAGCCACGTGAGCTCACCTACTAGTTAAGGTTACGCTGAAATAGCCTCACAAGGCTTAAAGCCTGGCCACGGGACATTCGCCGGTACTAATATTCGCGCGGTGCGAACGGCGAAGCGTTTAGCGACTAAAATAAACGCATAGCAATGTACTTATCAAACCACGCGCAACGGCGACCGGCGAAGCGACCGGCGAAATGTATCGAGCGATTCGCGCGGGCGACTTGCGACGCGGCGGGCGAGCAAAACAAATGCATGAATAAGGACGGCGCGAGCCACGGAGTCGAGCGGTAGTCGCGGCGAATGGTGCAGTGATTAAATGAGTTTAGTTGTTTTCGCCGCGAAAAATGAACACTGAAATTTTTATTGCTGAAATACTAGCTAGACCAGCTATTTGGAAGTCTAGCCACCCAAAGCCAGCGAAAAATTTTCTGGATACATTCTGTATTTCTCGTGCTTCTTGTGGAATTCTCCACCTATACTCCAATACTTATTCAAATCATGTAGTCCACAATCTCTTCCAAATAATAGGTCTTGAACCAAAAAACTATTTCTTTCTAAGCAATATCGAGATAATTTCGATATAGACATTTCGTTGTCGGACTTCCTTACTAGTCGCGGCGGCGAACGTGACTACCCGTGGCCTGCAAACGGTGCCGCACGAGTGGTCGCCTCATCCGCCGCTTCGTCGTTCGCACTGCCCATGCCGATCCCCGTGGCTAGGCCGTTAAGTAGGAAAAAAGGAAAAAAAAAGAGCCCTATGGTGGAATACGTACTTGTGAAGTATCTGTATTCTTTAACTGATAGATTATACACTTAAAATATTCTATAACTCGTAAATATTATTTAG